AAGCACATGGCACTGGGATGCTGGGGCTGGGAGGGTGGAGGTGAGGATGTGGGGATCACGAGGATGAGGGGGGGCAGTGCAGATTCTGGGGTCACTGAGGGCACTTTGTGCTTTGCTGTGTCCTGGAGGTGCCCGGGCAGAGGGGTTTGGACACGAGCTTGGACATTTCTTTGTAGCAAGTGAGAATAAACCTGCTGGGTCCTCATCCCTCCTGAAGCCCCCTGGGAATTTCCCTGTGAAACTTTTCAAATCATTAAAGCTGCTGCAGTGATTTATCCCCTTTGGAGGAGTGATATTCCAGAGGGGATGGAGCATCCCAGGAGTGCAGGACCTGACAGAGCAGAGGCAACCAGTGAGGGCACAGTGGTGCTGTGTATAAATCACTGCTCACGAGACCAACCCTACCCCCAAAGAAAAGACCCCGTCACCACCAAGCAAACACAGCTGCTGCACTGGTGACATCAAAATTGGTCCTTTGATCAGTCATTTTCCACAAGAGATTCTCTTTTTGGTTTTGCTTTAATTTTTCCTTTTTTTTTTTCCTGTGTGGTTTTTTTTTTGGAGGTTTTTTTGTGGTTTTTTGTCTCTTTTTTTTTTTGGTGTGCACAAAATGCCACTAATGACAAACTGTGGTGCCCGTGAGTGAGTGACAGCTGAAATAAGAGAAATGACTAATCGTGCCTCCCGAAGCCCTGTCGCATGGAGATTAAATGAGCCCTTTTTTCTTCCCCCCTCAATGAGAATCATGGGCATTTGAATAATAATATTATAGTCTCCATTAGGATGACAGTGGGGGAAAAAATCGGCTCAGACCTGTGATTATTCCTTCAATCTAATAATTATTTAAATACCAGATAACTCCTTTCAGCCTAATTGAGGCCTTTCAGCTGCTTGGGTTTATATTGTGTCCCTGAATTTACTCTCGCTTTCACCTTGCGTTACTAATAGCTTCAGATTGCCTGTAAGGCTGTGTTTTAAACTGTCTTTCCAAAAAAAAAAAAAGAAAAAGAAGGGCAGAAAAATAAAAATTAATGATCAAATAGTATTTAAGGATCAGAGTTAAAATGGCCCACTCTCCTGTTTCCCTGGTATTTAACTCCCCAGGTGTTTGGCCATCCCCAAACTCCTCCATACAGGGAATCACAGAATGGTTTGGCTTGGAAGGGACCTTAAAGATCATCTCGTTTCACCCCCTGCCATGGGCAGGGACACCTTCCACTAGCCCAGGTTGCTCCAAGCCTTGTCCAACCTGGCCTTGGACACTTCCAGGGATGGGGCAGCCACAGCTTCTCTGGGCAACCTGTGCCAGGGCCTCTCCACCCTCACAGGGATGAATTTCTTCCTAATATCTGATCTAAACCTTTTGTGTAGAGGGTTTCTCTCGATGGTTGATGTCTGTGTGGCTGAGCACTGCTCAATCCTGACCCCACAAGTTGCCCTTCAGCCCTGGGGGAGTGGGAGCTGCAGGAGCTGCCCCTGGGGGTTACAGGGATCCAGGGATGGCTCATGGTTCCCAGTGCACTCGGGTAGGATGTCAGCTCGTGGCCGTGCTCTGTCATGTTCAGATAATGTTTGAAAGCACAGATTCTTCTTCCTGGATGATCTCTCTTGCCGTTGGCAGCGACTGTTCACGAATACCCTGCAAAACCTTCACTGTAAGGCACAGCATAGAAGGTGGGCTTCAGCTGACAGCTCTGCTGCACAGCAGCTCCAGCCTGCCCTGCATTTGTACTGTGTCTGGATGAAAACATTGCTGGAAAAGATATAAAACTGCCGTGGTCAAAGTGAAGAGCTGCTGTTGTCCCATATGTACAGATGCACATGAAGTGTGATTATTTAAATGTGTTCATTTCTAGCTGGCACTGTTGGGTTTTTTTCCCTTTGCAGTGGAACAACTTTTTAAAAAATTGGAAAATGCTGAGCAGGAACACTCTGGGTGCTGAGCTTTACAGCAGAGCCTTCCTGTTCTCTGCAGAATCTCTCACTTTCAGGACTTCCCTTGAACCACAGGCCTCTGCCTGTAGAGGACCACGTCCCAGCACTTGCTTGGGGCACCGTGGTGGTCCAGGCTCTTGTGTGTTGTTTTGGAGGTGCTCAGCCACTGACCTTGTGCGCTGGATGCTCTGCCACTGACTTGGACACTTTAGCACTCCTGTATCCACAGGTTTTGTGCTGCCTTTCCTGAATACCTCTGAGCTCTCCCATGGTGCAGGTTTTCCTGTGTGTTTACCAGAAGTCACCCCGTTGCTGGCTGGTGTTTCCCTGCCAGTGCCACACATGAATTTCTTCCTGTCTTGGGCTGCCCTGCCATGTTATCCAAGAGCAAAACTGCTCTGAGATCCCTGTGCCCCACAATCAGATTGTCAGTGCCCACCATGGATCACCAGCATCCCTGCTGTGGGCAGATTCCTCTGAGCAGATCCTTGTGAACTGTTTGATTTGTCCCATTTCCAAAGATTCTGGATTCAGAAAATAGTTTCGGGGAAGTTCACACAGAAATTTAATGGGAAGAGCCAGAAGGTCCCCCCACTGTTGCCATGGCATGTCGGGGAGCAGCTGTTTTCTGCCACAATCATCCAAACTGCACGAAGGATCCGGCAGGATCCGTGTCCTCCCCGGGAGAGAGAAACCGCCTCAGCCAAAGGTGGGAATTAAGAGATGGCAATGAGGAGCAGCCAGGGAAATGTGTCCCTGAGCAGAATGAGAAAGCCATTACCACTCTCTCGTTCTCCTGTCTTGTCAGTGCCACGGAGACGTGCAGCCCAGGGACAGAGCTCCTTTGTCACCTCTCAGGAACACCCGTCTCCGGCTCCTGGCAGTGACAAGCCTAAAGAGCGGCTGTTCGGTGACATGAGCTCATGAGCTCAGTGTGGGCTTTCAGCAGCCCTGAATTATTTTAAATACCAGAGCAGGGGGGTGCCCGCAGGCGAGGGCAGCTGAGCACGGGCTGGGCAAGGGCACGTTTGCACCCAGGGCAGGGCATGGGGTCAGAGCCGCAGGGAGTATGTTTATCCCCCTGGGTGGGCTGGGGGCTTGGGTAGTTGTGGTGGGAGGTGATGAGACTTCAGTGCAGAGAAGGCAGGTGGAATGGTGGCTCATCCTCAGCCTCTTCCCAGGGCTAGTATCCCCCTGGGGTAGGCTGAAATGGTTCTTTTCACTGTCCAGCCTGGAGCACATAAGGAATGCATAATTTGGGATAAAGGAGAACCTTGTGGTGGTTTTCTGAGTCCGTGCAGTCAGACAGACCTGTGGTCAGCTTGAGCAAGCTGGCCTAGTGGAAGGTGTCCCTGCTTATGGCAGGAGGTGGAACAAGATGAGCTTTAAGGTAACAACCGAACCCACTGGATGATGATGATGGTGGAGATGAACAAGGCTGAGTTCAAGCCAGGTACACAAGTTACAGTCAGGTCTGGACATGATAACGAGAATGAGACACAATCCAGTGACCTTCAGACACATTTGTGGTGACAAGGAGGGTACAGAGGATGCTCTCTGACCCCTTACATGGTGCCCAGCTCAGAGTGTTGTTCTGGTGGTCCCAGGGCTCCTCTGAGCTGGGTCTTTCCCCTGTGCAGGGTGTAGGGCTGTCATTGCTTCCAGCTGCTTTGTGGGAGCCTGAGGTGGGGCTGAAAGTCTGGTGGCTGAGCTGGGAACCAAACCAATACCTCCTGTAGGGGGTGGTCCAAGCCGGACCCACCTCAGATGAGACAGACGTGGAAATGCAGGGATTGGGATTGTCTTTGACGTCCACATTTTTGCAAAGGGGGGTCTGCCCGCTCAGCAGAGGTGCTGGTGACGAGGTGGAGCAGGGAAGAGGGTTACAAGGGTCCTCTCCAGCAGCTCCTGTGTCTGCCTGGGCGCGTGCTGAGCGGAAGGGAGGGTGGAGAGCTCTGATGTAAACATGCCTCACGCTGCCGGAGTGTCTCCGAGGCGAGCACATGCTTCCTAAGGAAATTCCAGCCTGGTGATTCCTAATTCAGCCTGGCAGCTGCCTGTGCAAGCCCAGAGGATGGGGGTAGGGATCAGCAGGGCTCTAGCGATCCCTCAGGCCCGAATGAGGTCTAGGTCCTTTGGCAGCACCCACAAAAACAGAACAAGAACCAAACCTGACTGGTTTTGTGCCCTGTTTCGACATAGATTTTGGGCAGAGGTTTCCAGCTCGAGACTTATCTCATCTACATGGGTGAAAACATATCAGTCAGAAGAGACTCTATGCCTGACTGTTCTCCACAGAGCTATCAGGAAGGGCATATGGATAATTTGATTGGCACTGGGTCTTCTAGACCCAGAGTCCAGGCTGTCTCTTTGTGTAGCTTTTAGTCATCTCCTGCAAGTTTTGTTCGAGCAGGAATTTTGTCTCCCAGACTGGTAGTCTCTCCCCTACACGTGGTGCTGCTGGTGGCTGATCTAACCACGTGCTCCCACCTCGGTGGCAGCTGCTTTTTGGCACCTTTGTGAAGGCTGGGAGAAGTTTCTGCCTGAAAAGCACCTGCTTGAGGCACTGCTGCCTCTGGGATGGAGGGGGGATGCTGGTGCCTTTGGTGTGTATGTGTTCAATGAACTCGGCTGCATGAAACTTCTTCCTCAGTTCTCCAAATTAAATCAGAGAAGGTTTAAAGGTAGAAAACACCTCTTATTTCCTCTGTTGCTTCCAACAACACACCCTGCAGGAGACATCCTTTTAGCCAAGATTGCAGATGGATGGTTGGGTGTGTGAGCTGCGGGCTTTGTCTCGGGCTGGAGCTGATTATCCCCTCCCATGGCTGTTATAAACAGCTAAACCACACAACAAATTAACATGCAGAGGCTGAACCAAGTGGCAAAACGTCAAGCCTGAACTGCTCACCAGTAAGTTGGGAGACCTGCTTAATTCTTGTTGTGCTCAGAGACACCCTCACTTTATCTCAAGGACTGTGTAATTAGAAAGCCTCCTCTGAATTTTATCTGCAGGGCACACTGGATCTAATCCTTTGCTCTGCCTGCTTCTTTTCTTTCCTCAGAACCATGTGAGGGACATTGCCGGGGCTCAGGACACGCAAGGGGAACACGGAGTTTGCCTTTCCCAGGATGGATCAGAGGAGGAACTGGCCTCGGGCACTGGACTCTGATGGCTGGTCAGTGGCTTTGCTCTGTCTCTTCCTGGCATCTCTCTCCCGAAACGTGTCCAGCAATGCCTTGTTCAGCACTTTCCACTCCGAGAACCGGGACTGGACGTTCAACCACCTGACTGTGCACCAAGGCACCGGCGCAGTCTACGTTGGGGCTATCAACAGGGTTTACAAGCTCTCGGGCAACCTGACCATTTTGGTGGCTCACAAAACCGGTCCCGAGGAGGACAACAAATCCTGCTACCCACCCCTCATCGTCCAGCCGTGCAGCGAGATCCTCACCCTCACCAACAACGTCAACAAGCTGCTCATCATCGACTACTCGGAGAACCGGCTGCTGGCCTGTGGCAGCCTCTACCAGGGGGTCTGCAAGCTGCTGCGCCTCGACGACCTCTTCATCCTGGTGGAGCCCTCCCACAAGAAGGAGCACTACCTCTCCAGCGTCAACAAGACGGGCACCATGTACGGCGTGATCGTGCGCTCCGAGGGCGAGGACGGGAAGCTCTTCATCGGCACGGCCGTGGATGGGAAGCAGGATTATTTCCCCACCCTCTCCAGCCGCAAACTGCCCCGGGACCCGGAGTCATCGGCGATGTTGGATTATGAGCTCCACAGCGACTTTGTCTCGTCCCTCATCAAAATCCCCTCGGACACCCTGGCCCTCGTTTCGCACTTTGACATCTTCTACATCTACGGCTTCGCCAGCGGCAACTTTGTGTATTTTCTGACTGTGCAGCCAGAGACCCCCGAGGGCGTCTCCATCAACTCTGCCAGCGACCTCTTTTACACCTCCCGCATCGTCCGGCTCTGCAAGGACGACCCCAAGTTCCACTCCTATGTGTCTCTGCCCTTCGGCTGCGTCAAGGGGGACACGGAGTATCGCCTGCTGCAGGCAGCGTACCTCTCCAAGCCGGGGGACGTGCTGGCCAGGTCCCTCAACATCACTGCCCAGGAGGACGTCCTCTTTGCCATCTTCTCCAAGGGGCAGAAGCAGTACCACCAGCCGCCCGACGACTCCGCGCTCTGCGTCTTCCCCATCCGCGCCGTCAACGCCCAGATCAAGGACCGCCTGCAGTCCTGCTACCAGGGGGAGGGCAACCTGGAGCTCAACTGGCTGCTGGGGAAGGATGTCCAGTGCACTAAAGCGGTAAGGATGCTCTGGATGTTGGCCGTGGTGGCCCTCAAGAGCTGGGATCAACCCCTGGCCCTATGGAATACGAGCTCGCTTGGGGTGGTTTAGCCTGGAGAAGAGGAGGCTCAGGGGAGACCTCATCACTCTCTAGAACTGCCTGACAGGAGGTTGTAGCCAGGTGGGGGTTGGTCTCTTCTCTCAGGCAGCTATCAGTAAGACAAGAGGGCACGGTCTTAAGCTGTGCCAGGGGAGGTTTAGGTTGGATATTAGGAAGAAATTCTTTCCAGAGAGGGTAATCAGACACTGGAATGGGCTGCCCAGGGAAGAGGTGGATTGACCGTCCCTGAAGGTTTTTAAGAAGAGACTGGATATGGCATCAATGCCATGGGCTGGGAACCACAGCGGGGTTGGACCAAGGGTTGGACTTGATGATCTTGGAGGTCTTTTCCAACCCGGCTGATTCTATGAATAGGATAAATTTTTCTGTGCTTCAGTTTCCCCAAATGCAGAACAGTTACAGTGCTCTTCCCCTTCAGCCCGTGTTCTTACCAGGGAGTTGGTGATGGCAGTGAAAGGAAGGGATGACACAGGGAAGGGAACAAGCCACTGGGGAAGGAGGCTGAGGCTGGCAGGGGGTGGCACCGCCGGCTCCCCTCCGCGCGACCCCGAGTGTGTGGGGCTGCCCTGTGCCCTGCTTCACTCACAACCGCCCCAAAAACCTTGTCTTTCCAGCCAGTCCCCATCGATGACAACTTCTGTGGGCTCGACATCAACCAGCCCCTGGGGGGCTCGACGCCGGTGGACGGGGTGACGCTCTTCACCTCCAGCCGCGACAGGATGACGTCCGTGGCCTCCTACGTCTACAACGGCTACAGTGTGGTGTTCGTGGGCACCAAGAGTGGCAAGCTGAAGAAGGTAAGCTCGTGTCCGTGGCTTCAGAGAGACAGGATCTGTTCCTCCTCTCTCTCAGGGGACTCTGATGCGCGTCGCTGTTGCTGTGTCTCGCAGGCATTTCCCGGCGCGAAGCTGGGAGTCAGTGAGGAGCAGGAATTGCAGGGTTTGGGTCACCAAGAGCCTCGTTGGTGAGGCAGAGTTCATCCCTCAGCGCTGTTAGCACAGAGGGGCGTTGCTGTGGTTTGTATTGAAGTGCCAAGTTTTGGGAAAGGTGCTGCAGGATGGTCCTGGGAAAGGGATGAAAGTTCCAGTTCCCGTGGATCTGTGGCATTCCAGCTCCTGACCATGTCCTTGCATGGGCTGAGGGCACCTTCCTGCCCTTCCAGCCAGCAAGTTCCCTCAGCAGCAGCAGGGTAATGGGGGTCTCAGCCCCAGCCAGGTCCTGATGCACTGCCTGCTTGTGTGTGACATGATGTTTGTCTGGGATTTTGGGGTTTTATCATTCAGTGACCTGTCGTGTGTGTTTGTGGAGCTGATGCAGAAATCACCAGGGCAATAATGGGCCAGTCTGATTAGGGAAAAGTGAGGAGCTGGCTTGGAATTTCAGTGAACCTCAGCACACTGTATCCAAGGCCTTGGATGATTCCCTCTCTTTTGACACACTGATGGAAATCTTGCAATGGTTTTGAGTTGTTTCCCAGCAATCCTTCTGCAACTTGGGTAGAAGACTGTGAGTTAGAAAGCTTTTGGTGATGGCAGAATTGCTGATGGTGGCAGGATGTTTGGCCATGGAGAGATAGGAATGGGTTAACTTGGCTGCCTTTGGAACCAAGCCTCAGGGCAAAGTCCTACTGCTTCCCTCTGCCTCCTACCTCCTGCTCTTCCCCCTGACAGTTGGATGATTGATCAGTCCTGGAAGACAACATTCCTTGCCCTCTTCATCAACAGCACTGGTGCTACTTGCCCAGGGCAAAGAGAGGTTTCTGCTGGTTCCCTCCCCCAGCAAAGGGGTTGGGGGGGCTCAGTGGAGAGTCATAGGATGGTTTGAGTTGGGAGGAAACTTTAAGCTCACCTCGTTCCAACCCCTTGCCATGGGCAGGGACACTTTCCACTAGATCAGGTTGCTCCAAGCCCTGTCCAACTTGGCCTTGAATGAGTTTTAGGATTTCAAAGTCCAACTGGGATTTCCCTGCTTCTGAGTCATAAAATCATAGGATATTCTGACTTGGAAGGGACCAGGAGTTCCATATTTAAAAAGGGCATGGAATTGGTTTTGATGTATAAGCAGAGGTGTGTGAGAGCCTGGTTGGTCTTCAGGGTTGGAGCTGCAGCTGGAATCCAGCTCATCAGTGGGTGCAGAAGTCTGATCCAGCTCCAGCAAACCCAGCCTTGGAGATGCTGCTCTGGAAAGCTGAGATCCTTCAAATTAACCTCAGCTATAAATGACAGTATCAGGTGAACCTGCTAAATGCAGACCCCGCTTCTTCATACCAGGGAAAGAGTTAACAAATGTAATCAACAGCAGGCTGTTAATTTTTTGTGTCCTTAAGCAGCAGGGAATTTCTTCCTCATCTATCCAGGAAGATCCAAGGACAGGCAGATACTACACTTGAATGTCTGCATCATTTTAATTACATCAGCTCATTAATATTCATTCAGCACTTTACAAGTGCTGAGTAGTAGTAAATTAGGTGCCTCCCTGGTGCCTCTCGAGTGTCAGTGGGGCAATTTTGAACGTGGGGGAGAGGGGGTTTGTAAGCAGAGCCCCTCACTTCCCTGCTCCCCCTGCCGTGGCACAGGGGAGAGCCAGGATTTTTTTAGCTAAATGGATGGAAGAGGAGCCCTCAGCACATCACAAATGCACATGCCAAGCTCTGAGCCAGCCAGGCAGCCTGATGCTCACTGTTTGCAGGGTTTTTGGGGGGGGAAGAGGGAAGTTGCCTCATTTAGAGGCAGTAAAAGCAAACAGCCTGTGCCTGCACACGAGGTATTCACAGTCCTGTTCCATGAATTATGTAGGATTACAGAAGAAGCGGTGTCTTCAGCAGGGTTTAATTCCTCGTGCTAGTCTACACTGTATGATGCAGAGTTAATCTATTCATGCTTCCCTGTCCACAGGGAGGGCTTTTCACCTGGAATCCTTCACCTGGTAGAAGAAAGCTGGTCCATCTCTGGAGTAAATTCACTCCAGACATTCACTCCAGCCAAGCCTTCGTGGCATCTGCCCTTATTTCCCACGTAGCAGAGCTGCCTGCAGCTGAGGGCATCCGTGCCCCCCGTTGTTAACTGGGACAATCACGGTCCCGTCCTCCCCACTCTGGGGCTGAGGGTGTTGTTTTTCTCTAACTCTGCTTGTCCTGTCTACAATTTTAGTAAATCTCTCCTCGTTTGACACGTGGGATTATCTTTTGCACGGCCCAAGAGGGGCCAGGTGAAGCGTGGGAAGTAGCTTTGCTCTGAACTGTGGGGCCTGTGGGGCTCTCGCTGCAGAGGAGGCATTTGCAGACCTGGTGGGAAGTTGACAAGTTGTCTCCAGTTTTTGTGCCTGTTCCAAGACCAGACATGTCTTGATGTCAGCGAGTGCTCAGGATGCTCAGGACTGTTTCCATATCTCTCCTCTCCCATCTGTGAAATGAGGATGGTAAAAATGTACACACCTCTGTAAGTGCCAGAGATCTGTGGATAGACATCTTATCCACCTGATCTCCTTCATATCCTCCCCCATTGCATATCTGCCCACACAATTAATGTCTGAGAGCTACATCACACCTATTCCCTCACCCACAGCTGCTGGTTTCCTTTGGAAACAAGCTGGTCCTCAGTCTGGGGTTTCAGAGAAGACACTTTTGTGTAGCTGGAGCGAAGTCAGGGGAGCCAGCTCTGAAATCTTTCAAATTTGCCTGTGCTTCCCCAGTGAGAATTCCTTACTGAAAACGCTGTGTTATCTCACTGATGTCCTTCAGCCATTAGTTATTCACCCAACTGCTCCTGCCACGGTCCCTGGGAGAGCAGCTGCTGCTGCTTCAGCCTCTCTCCTCCAAAGGAGTGGAATGCTGAAGGTCCCCCAGCCCCAGATATCCCTGCCTGCACTCTGCTACAGCCCCACCTTGTCCAGCTCTACCTTTTTCCCTGTTTCCTGGGTACATTTGAAGCCTCTCCCTGCTCCTCTCAGCAGCCAGCACTGGCTGGGGTGTGAAGGAAGAAGCTCTCTGTCTGCTGGGAGGTTGTGCAGAGCCCCGTGGCAGGGCTGGCAGCTCTCCCAGCCTGAGCTCACCTCTTGCTTTGCTGGTTTTGGAGCCCTGCGGGGTCCAGTCGATGTTGGCAGCCCGGGCAGGTCCCGTGGGGTCTGTGGGATCAGCAGAGCTGCACCAGAGGGGTGTTGGTACCAAAGCTGTGACAAATAAATCGATAATATCAGATAAACCAGTGAACTTGGTATTGTCCCTGCAGGGGCATTTGCTGGGGGTAGGGTTTGTGTTCAGGTGGAGGGTGTGCTTGTACCTGCTGTGGCTGATCCACACTGGTCAGCTGCTCCTCATGCAACTGGTGGTTCTGGTTTGTGCTTTGCCTGTCCTTGGTTACTGTTGAAGGGAAAAGGGTGAATCAGTGGATCTATTCCCCGTTAAAACTCAGTGCTGGAGGAGGAGTTTCCCTGCTCTGCCACCCCAATTGCCTCTTATTGCCACCCACCTGTACATGGTGAGGGCTCAGGGGGACCTGTGGGTCACTCAGTGCACGTCCTGTACGAAATGTCTGCACCCCCAGAACACCCCACACGTGCTCCTGCTGTTTTGGGGAACCACTGCTCCCCAGCAGCTTCATCCAAGGGGGGGAAAAGCAAATGTGCTGATGGTGCCGTGACCTGCTGGGTAAAGCCCAGGGAGGTGGGATGCAGCTCTCCCTGCAGCTCTCCTCCCAGAGCATCTCCTGGCTGGGGGAGTGAGGGGATCATGTCAGAGGCACTACCATTCAGAACTGAGGATTCCACCAATAAAACAATTTTCATCCAGCAAAATTAGAAGGGACATTAATGCAACAGTTAACAGCAACTAAGTGCTGGGGGCAGATGTGTCAGCTTGCTTGTTCTGTTTATGGGCTTCATACAATTCCATCAATATTGATGTGTGATGCCTTTGATTTTGACACTAATCATTGCTATGAATTAAATTTGCAGCCATATAATTAGGGCTGCTATTAATAGGGCCTCAAGCTAAGCACTGCTGTGCTAGTTGTCTTTTTCCTGATGGAAAACGGCATCCACGGAACTCAGTTAATGTGGTTTGCCTGGTAGATGCTGAGACTGATGTGAAAATTACACTTGCTATATTTAGAGGGGCTTCTCTGAAAGGCAGATGCATGGGGAGGGTCCAGCTTGGAGGTTTCCCAAGAACTGTGCAGGAGTTGCCTTTAAACTTCCCAGTAGTTTGCTGCTTTCCCAAATCTTCGTTCACGAAGCTTAGCCATGACGATGAGTTTGCTGCTCTTAAGATCCATAGTGGGAGAGAGAAGGATTGCAGGGAGAAAAGAGCAACCCTCATTTTAAAGGGCTGCTGTTGCCTTGTTTCTATTTCATCTCATCTCCCCTTCCTCATGCAAATCTTCCCATTTCTTCCTCCTGCCCAGTGCTGTCTCAGCCCTCTGTCCCTGTGCGTGCCTGCTTTCATCTCGTCAGGCTCTGGGATGGCAGCAAGGCTCACCACTGAAAATCAATCTTGTGTTTCATCCCGAGAGGTCTGTTTCTTATTAGATCTAATAAATCAGTGAAGTGCCCTTCATTCAGCTTGTCGACGGAGGACAATGTTTGTGATCAAGAATAAATAAATGTCTCTTCTGTGTCTGACAACGCCGGCAAGGTGTTGTTCTGCCATCGTGCTGTTCGTGCTGGCTGTGGGAAACACACAGTTCCTGCAGCCCTGCCTACCCTCACAGCCAGGCAGAGAGGGACCTGGGAGTTTGGATTGACAGGAAGCTGAACAGAGTGTGCCCAGGTGGCCAAGAAGGCCAATGGATCCTGGCCTGGC